AGGTTGGAATGTTCTGAATATATTTGTTCAATCCATCTGTTCCAGTGTGTCACTAAAAGCCATTTTTTCCTTGTTGAGATGATCTGTCCATTGACATAAATGGGGTGTTAAAGTCTCCTACTATTATTATTATCAGTCAGTTCCTTTATGTTTGTTACTGTTATGTAGTTGGGTGTTCCTCTGTTGGACGCATAAATATTTACAACTGTTATATCTTCTTGTTGGTTTTTTCTTTTATCATATAGTGTCCTTCTTTGTCTCTTGTTACAGCCTTTATTTTATTTTTTATTTTTTTAAACTTGCATTTATTCATGAGAGACCCAGAGAGAGAGAGAGGCAGAGACACAGGCAAAAGGAGAAGTAGGCTCCATGCAGGGTGCCCGATGCAGGACTCAACCCCAGGTCTCCAGGACCTCGACCCGGGCCGAAGGCGGCGCTAAACCGCTGAGCCACCCAGGCTGCCCTACAGTCTTTATTTTAAAATCAATTTTGCCCATTAAAAGTTTGCTACTAAAGCTTTCTTTTGACATCCATTTCTATGATGTTTCTCCATCCCCTCACTTTGAATCTTTAGGTATAAAATGAGTCTCTTGTAGACAGCATATAGATGGGTCTTGCTTTTTCACCAGTCACCCTCTGCCTCTGTCCACTTACATTCAAAGTAATTATTGATATATATGTATTTATTGTCATTTTATTACTTGTTTTGTGGTTGTTTCTGAAGACTTTCTCTGACCCTTGTCTTTCTTTTGTGTCTTGCTCATTTTCTTTAGTTATATACTTGGATTTCTTTCTCTTTGTACTTTGACTTTTATCAGTGGTTTTTGATATATGGTTACCATTAGGTTTGTATATAACCTATTTTGCATAGAGCAGTGTATATTAAGTTGATGGTTGTTTAGGTTTGAACCCATTCTTTACTCTTTTCCTCCCCATGTTTTAGGTATATATTGTCATATTTTTACATCCTTTTATCTTGTGAATTTCTTGACTCCTCTTTTTCACAGCAATATTCATTTCTACAGCTTTTGTGTTTCCTGCCTTTATATTATCACTGGTCTCTCCTTTCCACTGAAAGAGTCCCCTTTAATATTTCTTGCAGGGCTGGTTTAGTGATCATGAATTCCTTTAGTTTTTGTTTGGGAAGCTCTCTATTCTGCATGAATGCCTCACTGGGTAGACTATTGTTGGCTGCAGATTTTTTCCCATTCAGCACTTTGAATGCCACTCCCTTCTTTCTTGAAAAGTTTCTACTGAAAAATTCCCTCCTAACCTTATGCATTTTCCCTTGTACCTTACTGTCTTCTTTTGTCTTGCTGCCTTTTTGTTTTAATCACTACATTTTGCTACTTATAACATGTCTTTGTGGGGGAACTGTTTTTGTTGAATTGGATGGGGATTTTCTCTTCCTCCTGGATCTGAATATTTGTTTCCTTTCCCATATTAAGGAAGTTTTCAGCTATTATTTTGTCAAATAAATTCTCTTCCCCCTTTTCTCTGTCTTCTTCAAGGACTCCAGAAATGCTCGTGTTATTACTTTTAATGGAGTCACTGAGTTCCCTAAGTCTGTTCTCTTTTTACATAATTCTTCTTTTGTTCAACTTGATTACTTTCCATTTCTCTGTGTTTCTCTGTCATTAATTTGTTCCTCTGCTTAATCCAGCCTGCTGTTCATTCTGTCAAGCATGTTTCATTTATTATGTCATTTATTGAGCCCTTGATCTCTGCTATGTTGTTCCTTATCTCTGTTTTAAGGATCTCACTGATGTCCTCAGCTCTTTTCTCAAATCCAGTGAGTATCATTATGGTCAGTGCTTTCAATTCTGTATCAGGCATGCTACTTATATTTGTTTCACTTAGATCATTGGCCATGGTCTTGTCTTGTTCTTTCATTTAGGTTAAATTTCTCTTCTCTTCATTTTGTCTGCCTCTCTTTATCTGTTTCTCTGTTTTAGGAAGGTCAGCTATGTCTTCACCTTTTGAAAGTAATGCCTTTATGAAGAAGAGGTCCTAGAATGCAGTCTCCTCTGTTCACCTGAACCTGGAAGTTCAGAAGAGTATCCTGTATATGTTGTTTATATCCTGCTGTTGTGTCTGAGTGACTTTTACTTTCAGTGCAGTTGTCTGCGCTGACTCTGCTTGTTCTGGGCTCTGCTTGCTCACTGTGGTGTTAGTGGGACCCAGGCAGGTCAGCTCAGCAGGTGCATGCCCACCAGAGAACTTGGGGGCAGGGCGGTGGCATTAGCAAAATTTGTGCTGGGCCACTAGTTCTATGCCAGATTTGTAGAAGCACTATAGCAACTTGGGGCAGCCTACCAGCTTAGCTGGGTGCCCAAAGCTGTGTACAGTGCCCAGGGATGGCTGGGTATGGCCAAGGCTGGCAAGTGACAGTAGCTGGGGATATGTGGCAACTGAGTGGGATGCCTGGTGGCAGCTGTGAATCCACTAGAGATCAGTGAGGGATGCACAAGTTTTGCAAACTTTGTCCTGAGCCCAGGGCCAAGGCTAGCAGGCTTGGAGTGTTCAAGTCCTCAGGAGAACTTGTGGGCATGGCACACTGCTCGCAGGTTAGATACCAAGTGTCTGTGCAGGCCTGCCTCCCACAGAGGGCCCTGTGTTCACCTGGGGAGTGGGAGGAGGAAGATGCCACCTGCCAACTCCCTCATTCTCAGAGAAGTACTCCAACATGCTCTGAAATCTGTATGAACTTATCTGTTTCCCATTTGCCCCTGGTGTTGTGTAAACTGCTATCTCTATATTACCTGTCTGTTCAGCTGCTGTCTCCTTAAGGGCAGCAATGCAGCTATGCCTTGCCCTCCCAGGTGGACTGGTTCTACTGGGCTTGTCCCAGCTCAGCCCATTGCTGAATCAGCAGGTTTCTAAATCTCCAGGCTCCGAGCCACACTCCAAATTTACACAGTTCAGCTTCTCTGATTTTCAGTCACACTATAGGGATTAGTCCTCCCTGCATGAGCTCCCTGGTATGAAGGCCCATTTCTTTGTCCTCTCCCTACATGGGCAGCCTCCTTCCACCTTTCTTGCCTTCCTAGCCTTTTACATTCAGCTACTACTATATTTTGTTGTGGAGCTGCTTCTGCCAGCCTTCGAATCCCTTTCTAGTTTATTGACTTGAATGTGTATGATATTGATTATTGATAGGTATTTACTTACTGCCACAATTGCTTTCTGGTTGTTTTATAATTCTCTCGTGTTCCTTTCTTTTGTTGTCTTATGATTTGGTGACTTTCTTTAGTATTATGTTTGGATTTCCTTCTCTTCGTTTTTAGTGTATGAGAGGTTTTTAGTTTGTGGTTATCCTGAGGTTCATGTATAACACCCTCTGTATGTAACCATCTATTTTAAGTTGATGGTTTGGTTGCTTAAGTTTGAAAACATTCTAGAAGCAATGCATTTTTACACCCTTCCCCATTTTTTATATTTATGTCATATTTTATATTACTGTTTATCTCCTAACTAATTATTGTAGATACAGTTGATTTCAGTACTGTTGCCTTTTAACCAGCATACTAGCTTTATAAGTAGTTGACATACTACCTTTGGTGTATGGTTGCCTATACCAGTGAGATTTTTTTTTCTTTTATAGTTTTCATATGCTATGGCTTCTCTTTCCATTTAAGGAAATGGTGATGATGAACTCCGTTAGTTTTGCTTGTCTGGAAAACTCTATCACTAAATTCTGAAGGATAATTTTGTTGAATAGAGTATTCTTAGCTAGCAGTTCCTTTCTTTCCATACTTTGAATATACTGTGCCATGCCATTCTGTCTTGCAAAGTTTTTGCTGAAACAAAATCTTAAGTCTTTTATGGGGTTCCCTTGTACATTAAGAAGTTTTTTCTTGATGCTTTTAAGATTCTCCTTTTCCTTAGACAATTATGTGTCTTGGTATGGGGCTCTGGGTTCAACTTATTTGGAACTCTGGACTTCACAGATGTGGGATGTCTATTTCTTACAGGGTGGCGTAAAACCCTTTTAAGTGTGGTATCTTCATAGGGCAGGGGGCCCCTTGTCCCTGCCTGCCTTTCTTCCAACTGTCCTTCATCAGTGGGATAGCCAATTAAGAACTGTTTCTTTGTTACAATCATGTGGGATCTGGAAATGTAAGCCCCTTGGCCACCAGAGCCAAGGAATAAAGGAGTGTGTCCCTTGAGCAGCAGATGCAAAGGCCAGTGCATCAGATGGCTGCACAAGTGCTTTTCTGGGAGATACTGCTGACCTGGAGCAAGGCAGAGAGCATGAAGATGGTGCCCTCCAGCCTCTCTGTTCTCTTGGGAATATTTCTGTCAGCCCCTAGATGTGTATTAAATTAGGTAGTTGCCACTCAGGCTGATGCTGCAAGATAAGCAAATAAGCCTCTTTCGTAGAAAGTCTGGGTACTTTTCAGTTGGCTGCTTCTACAAAAGACTCTATCTTGGTAAATCTGCATGCATGAGCCCTTTGAGAACTGTTTTTCGGTTTGTTGTATAGCCTTATGTATCTTACGGAGCAAGCCCCTTTAGCTTTCAAAGCTAGATATCTGGGAAGCTCATCTCTCAGAGATGAGCTGATATGGTATACCATCTTAAAAAGATGGTATGCCAGATACAAGGCTCAAATCCTTCACTCCTTAGAGGGAAGAGCGGATTTGTGAATGCTTTCCTAATTCTGTATTGCTGTGCCCAGTTGGCAGGGAAGGGGGGTGTGGTGAGTTGTGTCTCAGCCTCTCCTACCCATTTCAATGTGCATTTTTTTCTCATTCACCCAATGTGTAGGAGTTACTAAGCCAGTTTCTGAATTTCTTTAGGAGGGTGTGTCTAAAGACTTGCATTTTGGTGTGTCTATGGGAAGAAGCGAGTTCAGGGGCCTCCTGTATTGCCATCTTGAAGTGGAACTTGCTAATGGAGATTGTAGATAATTACCAGAATGTTCCCCTATGCTTTGGGGCATAGCCCTGTGCCCTTTCTCAGCCCTGACCTAACACTCAGCTGCTTTGTGATTTTAGAAAAATAACTGCATGTTACCTGAGGATGTGAAGAATTTTTACCTGATGACCAATGGCTTCCACATGACATGGAGTGTGAAGCTGGATGGTGAGTCAGCCTTCTTGCTGTAAGGTAACATTTCCCTGGCTGAGTATTTGGGTATAGGGATGGTTTTCTTGAGTTTTCCTAAGTGCAATGTCCAGATACCATCATTATTTCACCTATCACCCACACCTACCACCCACTATGCCAGAGTCTAGCTGGCACCTAACTGGAAGCTCAATTTAGAGGCTTCCTTTTGGAATAGGCTCCTAGAAAACATTGGTCACTACACAAAATTCCTGTACCACCTCAAACTTAAAGCCTCCGATGACTCCACCTCAGAGTATTCTCCTCATAGTGAGCTGAAAGGACAGCCACTGATGTCGTCTTAAGAGGGGCAGCTTCCTTCATTCCCAGCATGGCACTGACCACAGGGCTATGACTCACATACTAGATCTTTAACTTCTCTCCCTCACATCTCCCCACCTCATTTCTAAAATTGTCATCTTTAGTATTAAAGTATTTAGGACAGACATTTGTGTTGCAGATGTGGGAACTCATAACTTGGTAAGTTCAGAAATTGCTGGTACTGTGTACACATGAAAGGTGGTGCTGTGTGTTTGAGTGAAGACTCCTATAAAATTCATAAGCCAGGAAACCCTGTTCTATCCATTGGAGTCCAGTTCATTCTGCCACAGACTTCCCTGCCCACAGGAGACCTTTATTGCCTCTGCATTCCAACCACCTCCCCAGATCTACTTTGGTCCTCAGGAAGTACCTAGCACCTCCCCAAGCTGTCACAAAGAATTTGGCAATTTTTATTGCATAGCAGATCTGCAGAACTGACTTCTCCCCTTCATTTCCTCTGCCCTCTTGCTCTGACTTCCTTTTTTTTTTTTTTTTTTTGGATGATAATTCCCAAAGCCTTTCTGTCTCTCTCTCTCAAAGCTGACCTGAGGCACTTTATAGCTTATTACTAAGCATTTAACATGAACTTTTAGCTTGGAATTATTTCTTCCATCGGCCTAGAAACCATTTCTGTCACAAGAGCCCTTTGAAGCATGACCAGGGCCTTTGGAGTCTGGAGTGAGAGAGAGAATGGACATGACCAGACCAAAGGTCAGATTTTCCCTTGCCCATATTGTGAAGACAGGCTAGCCCCTTCACAAGCACCCCTCAGAGAAGAAATAAGTCACAAAGTTTTTATGAATGAATTCTGGTTCATTATTCTAATACCTCCTCTCATTTAATCCTTCCAATCCTAGTCTTCCTATGCTGTTCCCATTTCCATCCCCCTTTCTGTCCTTTTCTGGATAGCTACTTTAACAGCAGAGGCAGTTTCTGATGTTTACCTCTTTAATGGGCTGTTCTGCTTGGACTTCCCGTAGTCTGTTTACTAGCTGTTTTAGTATTTTCAGGTTTTTTCAGCAGTCAGATTTCTAAGTCTTTGTATGCCATCCGGTGTCCAGCATCCTATATGACAAGGATTCTATATAATAAGAATAACAGTTGCCTATTCCTTATTTATACCCTAATGTCAGAAAACTAGAATCAGGCAAGAAGGCTGTCAAGTTCTCTGTGATGAGTAAGAAAAAAATAGAGGGGAAGCAATCTTCAATCATGAAAAGCTTACAAGAAGAGAAGAATGGGGTCAGTTATATAATCAAAGCTGTTACTTCTTTGGGAATTATAAGCCTTCATGTAAGAAAAAGAGGGAGCAAAAACATTTTTAGGTCCTTTGCTCTTCAAAGAGGGTCCCTAGCCCCGATTTCTGTGTTCTTTTTGAGCATACCCTTTTTAAATTTTCAATACTCTACCCTAATGCATGCAGGAGGTCTCTTCACCTGTGACCATTGCTTAAAAAAGGTTGGCGCTCTGGGTCATATAGTGCATTGTTCCTCTTCCTTCAACTTTCCATCAGATTTCTCAGCTCTGGGATCATACAATAGCTGGGCTTGAGTTATTCCAGTTATGATCATGGTAATAAGGCTGTTTCTCTTTGCTAATGTTTCCGTAGAGCACACCATTCCATTGGGCAGCATGGCAATTAACAGCATCTCAAAACTGACTCAACTCAACCAGTCTTCCGTGTACTCACTGCCTAATGCACCAACTCTGGCAGACCTGGAGGATGATACACTTGAAGGTACCTGAAGGAACTTCTGCTCTGAGTTAGAAATTAGCCTCTTTGTTTCCCTTTTATAATGTTGAAAACCATAGGAAGACATTGTGGCATATAGTACCTTTCCCAAAGCCAAAACCTTCCCCATATGTGGCTTCTCAGGACCATGGGAATAAGGTGAAAAAAAAAGCCTGTATCAACAAAGGAAGTTTTCATGTAGAAATGCGAGGGTTGAGATTCTTGTTTTGTTTCCAGCACCCACTTCAATGCCTGGCACATAGCCGGTACTTCATGAATGCTTAGTAAATGAATGAATGTTATAGATTAACTTGACTCAACATTTCAGTATCAAGAGCTTTCAGGGAACATGGAATCTACATTGCCATCTCTGATTCAAATGACTGCTAAAAGCTATGAGCAACTGAGCACAAGTGAGGACTTTGTCAATTAGAATTGTGTTTGGCTGCATGTATCAGAGACCCAGTTACAACGTCTAAACTAAATAGGTGTTTATTTTTCTCATAACAAGAAATCTGGAACTTGGCTGGCACGGCTGTTTGAGAAGGTCAGTGATAAAAGTCTTCCTCTGAATTCTCTTGCACCAACCTTTGGATACACTTCCATCCTCATCACTGAGGAATGCAGGCTGTCCCTCCAAGCTTCCAGTCTGTGTTCCAGGGAAGAAAAAGAAGAATAAAAGGCAAAACGACGACAAAAAACTGTCTTTTGGCAAAATCCATCCCTTTTTATCAGGAAAACAATAGTTTTCTCAGAAGTGCCTTCCAATAGCCATTAGCCAGAACAGAGTCAAAAGATTACTCATAGCTGCAGGGGAAACCGAGGAAATACATTTAGCTGTGCAGTATTGTCTCCTCAAACAGGAATTGGGGTTTAAAAAAGGAGAATGAATATTGATTAAGCAACTTCTGTCTCCAGTGGTAAGGCCTTGGGGCACATTGAAATTCTGGCAGGAGAACCGATGCAAGGCTTTCTCCAGCAACCACAGAGCAGTTGGACACTAGTACAGGTATCCCTTAGAGATTTTGCAGGTTCCGTTCCCGATCACCACAGTAAATCAAGTACAAATGAATTTTTTGGTTTCCTGGTGCATATAAAAGTTAAGCTCATACCATACCATGGCCTATTAAGTATGATGTCTAGAAAAACAATGTACATACCTTAATTTAAAAATATTTTATTACTAACAAATACTAACCACCATCAGCTTTCAATAAGTTGTAATCTTTTTGCTGATGGATGGTCTTGCCTGCATGTTGATGGCTGCTTAATAGGGAGGTGGGTTGCTGAAGATGGGGGTGGCTTGGCAGTTTCTTAAAACAATGAGGTTTGCTGCATTGATTGACACTTCCTTCCAGGAATGATTTCTCTGTAGCATGCTGTGCTGTTTGATAGCATTTTACCCACAGTAAAACTTCTTTCAAAATAGATGTCTGTCTTCTCAGACCCTGCCACCGCTTTACCAATTAAGTTAATGTAATATTCTAAGTCCTTTGTGTTAATATCAACAGGCTTCATAGCATCTTCACCAGGAGTAGAAGCTATCTCAAGAAACTACTTTCTTCACTCCACAAGAAGCAGTTCTCATCCATTCAAGTTTTATCAGGAGATTGCCAGCAATTCAGTCACATCTTCAGTCTCTCCTTCTAATTCTAGTTCTTTCACTATTTCCACCACATCTGCAACTGCTTTTTCCACTGAAGTCTTGGACTCCTCAAAGTCATGCATGAGGGTTGGAATCAACTTCTTCCAGTCTTGTTAATGTTGATAAAACTATCTACCCATGAACCATGAATGTTTTTAATGGCATCTAGAATAGTGAATCCTTTCCAGAAGGTTTTCAGTTTACTTGTCCCCAGATCTATCAGGAAAATCACTAGTCATAGCACCTATAGCCTTATGAAGCATATTTATTAACTATTACGTCTTGAAAACTGAAATGACTTCTTGGTCCATGGGTTGCAATATGGATGTTGTGTTAGCAGGCATTAGAACAACATTCATTTCATTATATGTCTCCAATCAGAGTTATCAGGTGACCAGGTACATTGTCAATAAGCAGTAATATTTTGAGAGAAATCTTTTTCTCAACAGTTGGTCTCAACAGTGGGCTTAAAATATTCAGTAAACTCTGATAGCAGATGTGCTATCATTGGGGCTTTGTTGTTCCATTTATAGAGCACAGGCAGAGTTGATTTAACCATTCTTAAAGGTCCCAGGATTTTCAGAATGGTCAATGAGCATTGGCTTTAACAAAGTCATCAGCTACAGTAAGCCCTACAAAAGGAGTCAGCCTGTCCTTTGAGGCTTTGAAGCCAAGCACTGATTTCTTTTGCTTTAAAAGTCCTAGGTAGCGTCTTCCAATAGAGGATGATGTGTCTACATTGGAAATCTGCTATTTTGAATAGCCACCTTCATTAATTATCTTAGTTAGATCTTCTGGATAACTTACTAGTTTGCCTTGCACTTTTATGTTATAGAGACAGCTTTTTCCTCAAACCTCGTGAACCAACCTCTGCTAGCTTCAGACTTTTCTTCTGCAGCTTCCTCCCCTGTCAGCCTTAGAATTGAAGCCAGCCTTGCTCTGGATTAGGCTTTGGTTTAAAGAAATGTTGTGGCTGGTTTGATCTTCTATCCAGATCACTAAAACTTTCTCCATATCAACCATAAGGCTGTTTTACTGCCTTATCATTCATGTGTTCACTGGAGTAGCATTTTTAATTTCCTTCAAGAACATTTCCTTTGCATTTACAACTTGGCTGTTTGGCACAGGAAGCCTAGCATTCAACCTGTCTCAGCTTTCAACATGCCTTCTTCACAAAGCTTAATCATTTCTAGCTTTTGATGTAAAGTGAGAGACATGCAATTCTTCCTTTCACTTGAACCTTCTAAGCCCATTTTAGGATTATTGATTGGCCTAATTTCATTACTGTATCTCAGGGAATAGAGAAGCCTGAGGAGAAGAAGAGAGATGGAATGGCAAGTCAATGGTACATTCAGAACACAAACATTTATCAGGTTTGCTGCCCTCTGCAGGTGTGTTTTATGGCCCCTCAAAATGGTTACAATAAAAACATCAAATACCTTTGGTCAAGAAGATAGGCACAAACTTCATCAGCATCGCATCTCCCAACCCCCACATTTTGCATGGCCTCAGTCTCTGTAGCAGCGACTACAGTAGCAGCTGAGGTGGGCCCTGCAAAGTCCAAGGGTTGGCTTGTTAAGGTTGAGTGCTCCACCCACACATACTTTACAGATCTATTTGGGCTAGCCTCACCTGGCAGCACTGGCAGCAGGTCTCATTTCACAAGCAGACTGGTACATACCTTGTTAAAACATACTCCTACCCTGGCTATGGACCAAACACTGCCCACAGTAGGCAAAGAGAGCCTCTGCAGATGACTGCACTGAAGGAAAAAGAGGACAGGACACAGTAATATGGAAACACCCCTGAAGTGCCAGATCCCAGTGAACAGGGGACACTGTGCTCTAGGGAACTACAGAATCGCTTCTTCATAAGGCCATTACTTTCCTAGCACACACAAACAGACACAGAGTTAGACAAAATGACACAGAGGAATATGTCCCAAAAGAAAGAACAGCACAACACCACAGCAAGAGACCTGAGCAAAACATATATAAGTAATATGCCTGGTAGGGAATTTAAAGTAATAGTCATAAAAATACTGGACTTAAGAGTGGAGAACCTTAACACAGAAATAAAAAAAAAAGAATCAGAGATGAAGAACACAATAAACTAATTTTAAAATGCACATGATGGAGTAAATAGCAGGCTAGGGGAAGCAGAGGAATGAATTAATGTCCAAAGTAATAGAAAATAATTAGGCTGAACAAATGAGAAAAGAATTATGCAAAGAGAGAATAGATGTAGGGAACTAGGTGACTCCATCAAGTATAAGAACATCCCAGAAGGGAGAAAAAAGGCAGAAAATTTATTTGAAGAAATAATAGCTGAAATATCTAATCTGGGGAAGAAAAGAGATATCTAGATATAGGAAGCACAGAGATCACCCCCCAAAAAATCAACCTGAAGAGACATAGTAGTGATAAAGAAAAAGAAATTTTAAAAGCAGATGTTAGTTACATACAAGAGAAATCCATAAAGCCATCAGATTTTTCAGCAGAAACTTTACAGGCCAGAAGAGAGTGGCATGGTATATTCAGGGTGCTGAAAGGATAGAGAATACTATCCGGTAAGTAAGGGTGTCATTCAGCATAGGAGGAGATATAGAGTTCCTCAGATAAAAACTTAAAGAGTTCATGACCACTAAACCAGCCTTGCAAGAAATATTAAAGGGGACCTTGAGTGGAAAAGAAAAACTAAGAATATGAAAAGTAAAAACAAAAACAATAAAAACTATCTGTAAAAATCAGTCAAGGGATTTACAAAATTATGTAAAATATGGCACTATTATATACCTAAAATATGGGGGAAAGGGATGGGTTTAAACTTAAGGCCACTGATCAGAGATCATCATAACATAATGCAAAAGGTTGAGATATTGCAAGAATTATCAAAATGTAACAGACACAAAATGAGCAAATGCTGTTGGGAAAATGGTGCCAATAGACTTGCTCAACACAGGATTGGCACAAAACTTAAATGTGTGAAAGAAAAAGTATTTTTGAGACACAATAAGGCAAAACACAATAAAATAAGCTATGCTTGTACTAGAGCAATCCAGGAGCAAAGACTGAAAAATCATGGGTCTTTGGAAGAGCCTGACACTCAGAGAAGTATGGACTCCTCGGGGAGGGGAAAGGTCACATTTGCTTCGTATGTGTGCTGGGGCCTTTGAAGCCCTAAAAGCAAAGAAGTTGTTAAATACATAGACTGAGCCTTCCCTGCCCTTAAAGTTGGAAGATAGAGGCAGACTAGATACTAGAGAGGATTTCAAGGAGCCTCAGCAAAGGACACAACGGGAAGAGACCGCATTGTGCTACGTGTACTCATAGAGACAGAAACCACCTGACCTTTTGGCACCTGCTAATAAGTTCATGCTTTTTAGGATAGTCCAGTAGTTAGACCCTAAGTCTTATTAAACCTAATTGGAAAAAAATACTGACTTTTCTCAGGGTACTCAACAGTGAAAAAGGACTATTAGGATATACAACCAGACAAAACTGCTAGAGGACACAGATGAAAACCTAAGGAAAAACAGGAATCCGAACAGACATTTAAGACAGCACAAAAGCTTCCTATAGGACAAAAGTAAATATTTTCAAACAACTGATGAAGAATATAAATAAGATTTGAGTTAGTAGCCTGATAAACCAAGTGCAAGATATATTTAAAAGGGGGAAATTATGAGGGAAAAGGTGGAAGGGTAAGAAAAATAGAAAAATGGAGCCAGAAGACTTTTTATCATTACTGGTGGCTCAAAAAAAAAAAAAAAAAAAAGAGTAGATAGAAAGGCAAGAAACACTGATAAAAGAAAATTTCTCTGCAAATTGAAAGGGCTCTATGAGACCCAGATTGAACTGATTAGAAAAGAGACACCTAGGTGTTGTATAATGTGGGAAAGAATTACAAGCTTCTAAGCAAAAATAAATTACTTGTGAAGAAATAATAATCAGACTGATAATCAGACTTCTCACTTGTAGCAGTGGAAACTAGAAATAGAAAACATATACAGGTTAGTGAGAGACAATGAGTAAAAAATTGAGAGTCCTATGTATATAGACCAAACACACCTCTCAGTTTATTAAAAAGAAAAAGAAAAGAAAGAAAAATACAGAAAAAAGAAAGAAAATGTAAAACTTTAAGAACATTAATACTCTAACTAGAAGACAAATACAACTGAATGGAGGTCCTAAGATGTGGATAATAGGAAAGGAAACAGGGGATCAGTGAACTTCCCATGAAAGAGTTATATGTGCATTTAATCTTAGTATCTAGGAATGTGTTGTGTAACTTTATTTTTTTTTCAAGACTTTATTTATCTGAGAGAGAAAGAGAATAAGTAGGGGCAGAGGAAGAAAGAGAAGCAGACTCCCCGCTGAGCATGGAGTGGCACAGGGCTCAATTCCAGGACCCCGGGATCATGACCTGAGCTGAAATCAGGTGCTTAACTGACTGAGCCACCAAGGTGCTCCCTCGGTTGTATAACTCTTACATAAAATTCCCAGGGAACACCTGGGTGGCTCAGTCAGTTGAGCGACCAACTCTTGATTTTGGCTCAGGTCATGAGATCAAGCCCCGAGTCAGGCTTCACACTCAGCAAGGAGTCTGCTTCTCTCCTTCACTCTCTCCCTCTGCCTCCTCCCTCTTTTTGCCTCTCCCCCTGCATGCATGTGCCCTCTCTCTAAAATAAAGACTTAAAAATAAAACTCTTGGAAAGGGAGACATATTGCAAGGAATATTGTAAGAAACCTACTCTAGTTGATGCTTGAGCAATGCAAGGGTTGGGGCACTGACCCTCCATGTAGTCAAAAATCCCCATAGAACTTTTGACTCTCCCAAAACTTAATTACTAATATCCTGTTGACTGGAAGCCTTACCAATAACAAACAACACATATTTTGTATATTATATGTAACATACACTGTATTCCTAAAATAAGCAAGAGAAAAGTAAATGTTATGGAAATCATAAGGAAGAAAAAATACATTTACAACACTGTAAAAAATCCGTGTGTATAAATGGACCCATGTGCAGTTCACTCCGTGTTGTTCAAGGATCAACTGTATATTGTCTCAACCTAAAAGAAAGGGGAAAATATAAAAGTGTTATGGGTTAAATTATGCCTCCCCCCATTCATATAATGAAGTCCTAACCCCCAGTTCAGAATGTGACCTTATTTGGAAATACGGTCATTGCAGATATAACTAGTTAGGATGAGGTCATACTGGAGTGGGGTGGACCCCAATCCACCATATGACTGGTGTCCTTGAAGATATTTGGAGACACAGGAAGAATGCCATTTAAAGATGAAGGCAGAGATGGGGTAGGACTTTTATACATTACAGAAAGCTAAAATTTGCCAGTAAACTACCAGAAGCTAGGAGAGAGGCATGGAACAGATTGTTTACCCACACTGTCAAAGTTGGGTTGCCAATCTGCCAACACCTTGATCTTAGATTCACAGCCTCCAGAATCGTAAGAGTACAAATTTCTATTGTTCAAACCACTCACTTTTGATATTTGGTTACAGCAGCCCCAGCAACTAATATATAGAATGTTCCTAGAGTCTTTAATAGTAAAAAATGTAGGACAAAGGAGGAAAAGGAAAAGAAGCAGAAAACGGAAGTTCTCCTCTTCCTGTAGGAAAGAAATAGTACACCTTTTTTGGGGAAAACAAGTGTGTCTTGTTATTTGAGTTTTCTGTTTTGTTTGTAAAGATTTCATTTATTTGTTCATGAAAGAGAGTAGAGAGAGAGACACACACACACAGGCAGAGGGAGAAGTAGGCTCCATGCAGGGAGCCCGACGTGGGACTCAATCCCGGGACTGTGGGATCAGGCCTTTGGCTAAAGTCGGCACTAAACTACTGAGCCACCCGGGCTGCCCAAGTTTTCTATTTTTGTATAATAGATAACCACAATTTTAATGGCTTAAAACACCACAAATTTATTATCTAAGCTTAATGAGTCAAGAATTCAGCCACAAATACGTAGGATCTTCCAAGCTAAAATGAAGGTGTCACCTGGTGCTGTGATCTCTTCCAAGGCACAGAGGCCTCCTCCATACTAACCTGTAGTTGCCCTTACTCAGTTTCTTGCAGTTGTGGCACTTAAATCCCTGTTTTATTGGTGGCTGTTAGCCAGGGCTCACTTTCAGCATCTTTATGCTGCCCTTAGATTCTAGCCACATGACCCTCTCTCAACATGGCAGTTTACTTCTCAGCCAACAGGGAAATGCCTCTTCAGTCTGCTGCAACAGTCTCCTACCATGTGAGATAATCAGGGGAGTGGCTACCGCATCATATTTGCAGGTCCTGACTATACTCAAGAGTAGGAGGTCCTGTAAGGTGTATATATCCAGGAGCAGGAATCTTGGGGGCCTTAGAATTCAGGGTACCACACTTAGGAGAAATAATGGTCTATTGTTTTCAAATAATGGTAGTTCTATGGATAATCATGCAAACAGAAAAAAAAAAAAAAGGAAGATAACTAAAGGACTAAAGCTCTACATGAAAATCTCCAACCTGATAAGGAAATATTGAATCACAGGAGAAAAAATAAGAGAAAAGAAACAAATTAGGAAATAAAACATTAGGAGAAATAAAAGAAGACTGATCCATCACGATATTAAATGTGCTGGGATTAAATTTCCCTTTTGGAAAACAAAGACTGACAGATTGATGTAAAAAGCAAAACTCATCTATATGTTATTTTTAGGAGCATACTTAAACTGATGAAGAGACTTCCTCTTCTGGTAATAGCAGACAGGCAATTCAGAGCAGCCTTCCTGCTGAAGACAATGGAGAAGTCAGAGCAAGGTATAAAAACGATCTCCCTAAAAACATTAAAGAGCTTAACAAGAAGATGAGGTAATATCATCAACATCCAAAGACAAATCAGGGGGGAAAAGATTCAGCACTTGGGGTTGTTTTGCCTGGGGTACATTGCCCTTTTCACAACAGGCTGTGAGGATGCTGGAAAGCTGTGAATTTAACCCATTTTGAAACCAGAGGAATAAAGCAGAGTTCAGGCCTTACAAAAGATAGCACCTATAAAAACTACCTACTTTTTGGGTTGGCACCATTGAAGAGCAGTACCCTAGGAGACAGAATAAACCAGAAGTAACTTTTTCTCATAGACCGAAGCTCAAGTGTAAGTCATCTATGTGGCCCAGAAAATGCTAAATCTGAAAATTGGACTAAATTGATTCCAGGTTACTAATCCCCTCCAGGGCCTGGCAGAAACAAACAAATTCACTCTAGAGAAATGTTCTAAAATGGATTGTCTTAATGGTTATATTACTGTAAATATACTAAGAACCATTAAATTGTGTACTTCAAATGAGTAAATGGTATGGTAGGTGAATTATATCTCAGTAAAGCTCTGGTATAAAATGAAAATTCCACCCCAGAGGATGATAACATTATCTTAGACCTCAAATTATTTTTTTTATAAATTTGTTTTTTATTGGTGTTCAATTTGCCAACATATAGAATAACACCCAGTGCTCATCCCATCAAGTGCCCCCCTCAGTGCCCATCACCCAGTCACCCCCACCCCCCGCCCACCTCCCTTTCTACCACCCCTTGTTCGTTTCCCAGAGTTAGGAGTCTCTCATGGTCTGTCTCCCTTTCTGATATTTCCCACTCATTTTTTCTCCTTTCCCCTTTATTCCCTTTCACTATTTTTTATATTCCCCAAATGAATGAGACCGTATAATGTTTGTCCTTCTCCGATTAACTTATTTCACTCAGCATAATACCCTCCAGTTCCATTCACGTCGAAGCAAATGTCAAATTATTTTTCTAAATAATTTTTCAAAAAATACTTCCTTCTGAAAAATAACTAGGCACATGAAAAAAACACAATACTATAAACAAGAAGCAAGACAAACAGGTAACAAGAAAGATCAATCCACTGTACCCCCAAGAGTGAAATTATTAGGTGCAACAATATGCGAATGCACACGTGGGGATAAAACTGAACTAAAATTTCAGTGAGAAACTAAAAATAGGCGACATTGCATATTTGGCAAAAAAGGAAGCAAAAGATTCAAATATTGACCCTCTGCTTCTGGTAATGGCAGAGTCCCTTTCACCAAATCAAGACTACACAGAACTCTGGGATAACTTTAAAAATGATGATCTAAAATGGTTGGAGAATAACCAGAAATCATCTGCAAAATGATTGCAGAAACTGGAGTGGCATCCACAAATGGCAGAAGGGAGCCACACTGAGTGAGCTTCCTATTTTATAACTTTTCATCTGTGGACAGTGAGCATCAGTCAGGGCAGAGCTGCTGAAACTTAGTGGGACCCTACAGCTTATCCTAGACTTTGGATTTCACCCAACATGGGAGTAACAGACCTGATTTAGATCTGCCTTGCTGAAAAAACAACCATCAACAGAAAAGATATATAAAAATGGATTTCAAGGCATAGACCATCAGGCAGTGAAGAATAGTGAGCCTGAGAGATGGAAATAAGGAAGAGGAACCTCAGCTTAAGAGATCTAGAGAATTTTCCAGTTCACAGACAGCATAGAGAAGGGAAGCCAGGCAGAACCTGTTGCACACTGTGAGTTGAGGACCACATGAGATCAAGAAGAGTATTAAAGTGTAACTTAACTTCCCGGGGAAGGGAAATCCATGTTCAAAAGAGTTTTAGTTAGAAATATAAATATTTATGCATTGGTATAAGATTATATATATAGCTATATGTAAAAGTAAAAAATATCTTTTTGTATACTTTGTTTTATCTAGCCTCTCCTAGGTTTGCAAACTCTCTCCCTCAGTCACTAATACTAATCTTTATTACATAGTAGCTGTAATGAAAGAAGCAGGAAAGGTTTCTGATGCTTACATTTCTAAAAATGTCTCTTTTTTTCTGGGTACTCCATTATTCTATTTGATTGCCAGGTAGGTATTTCTAATTGAGCTAGGCTAAGCATTAATTATAATGTAATTAATATTAAATATTATAAATAATACATTTTAGACCAAGGAAAAGAGATTCTATTTTTTTTTTAATTTTTATTTATTTATGATAGTCACATAGAATGAGAGAGAGAGAGGCAGAGACACAGGCAGAGGGAGAAGCAGGCTCCATGCACCGGGAGCCCGACATGGGATTCGATCCCGGGTCTCCAGGATCGCACCCTGGGCCAAAGGCAGGCGCTAAACCGCTGCGCCACCCAGGGATCCCCGGAAAAGAGATTCTAATCAAAAGATCATAAAGTGCTATAAACAAGGGGAAAGCAGTTATCTGGGAAAAAGAGAACACTTATATCAAAATCAGGCCAGAGTACTTTGCCTTTATGTATTCCCACTCTCAACAAGTTCAGTTTTCCTTGTGTCACCTTCCACTAGATTCCATGATGCTGTCTGTCTGGGATGGAGAAGCCCAGACAGAAGGCTTAGACCATGAATAAGATCCTGGGCATTGAGAGTATAGAATTCATTTGGTGAGCATCTGAGTGGTTCAGTCGGTTAAGTATCCGACTCGTGGTTTCAGCTCAGGTCATGTCATGATCTCAGGGTCCCACACTCAGCAGGGAGTTGACTTGAGGATGCTCTTCCTCTCCTCCTCTCTTCACTCACACTCGCTTGCTGAAATAAATAAAAAATTTTAAAGAAATTCATGTGGCTCACATTGGAAATAGTAAAGAATATGTCTGAGACAGGATTTTTCCCTTTCTTCCCCCACCCTAGCAGTGCTGGATGAGTAAGTATTTGAGTTGAGTATGTTTGAACATAACTGTTAACTTCTGGGTTTGCAGCCAGTGAGAACCAGCCAGAGAAGCCTCACTTTGATTCTCGCAGTGTGATATTTGAGCTGGATCCTTGCAATGGGAATGGGAAGGTTTGCCTTGTCTACAAAACAGGGAAACCAGGTAAGAATCATTGATAAGCATGGTTCTGCAGTTGGGTGTGGCATGGATGGCCCTGCCTTCCAGCCATCACACAAAAGGCACACTCCTCTCTGGACCCCTGAGACGTGGCTAGGTGTCTTGAAGATGTAAAGACCCAGGGCAGCCCAGGTGGCTCAGTGTTTAGCACCACTTTCAGCCCAGGGCCTGATCCTGGAGACCCAGGATCGAATCCCACGTCAGACTCCCTGCATGGAGCCTCCTTCTCCCTCTGCCTGTGTCTCTGCCTCTCTCTGTGTGTGTCTCTCGTGAATAAATAAATAAAATCTTTAAAAAAAAAAAAAAAAGATGTAAAGATGCAGAAAGCCCCTTTGCTCCTCCCTGAGCTTCCCTTCTAGGCCAATCACTGGAGTCTTTTTAAGTTGTCATCATTTGTGAGTTACTACAAATAATGGGAGTAGGAAAATTAGTAAAAACTAAAAGAAATAGTCATTATGTTTAAAACTCTTCTAGCAGGCTCATGCTTTAGAAAAGCATCCAGGAAAAGCATTATCTTTCTTGTATACTTTTATACATAGGCAAGTTAACAACACTAAAAACCTGAATGAGTAGACCCCAGTCTAAGACCTCAGATGAAAAATCAGAAGGAAAAGGCTATGGCCCTGGAGCAGCAGCTATCACCTGGACTCCCAGCAGTAAGGCCCAACCCTAGGGACATGGATAAGGCCCAGCCCTCTCCAAGTAGCTCTCAGCCTCAAGAGATGAGAGGATACAGGCACCAAGATTTTACCCCTAGAGAAAGGGAAGGGACCAACTTTGCAAAGTAGCCTTTCATCCCCATCTTGGGTTATATGGAGGGGTGGGGTGGCAGGGGTTGTAGAGTAAGGGCAGCATCCAGGCAAAGAGACATGGTAAACTTATGCCATGGGGAAATGCAACTGATATGGAAGGAATGACAGTTTCAAATCATAGGGCTACCTGGTTCATCGAGGAGATGAACCCAGAAGGCCAGTTGTTCCCCCCATGCAGAGCTTAGAAGGAGTTTGGACATGGTAGTGGGAAGTCAAGGTTGTTCAGAAAAGGACCAGCAGAATGAAGATGGAATGTATGTGACCACAGGCAGTCTTGGAAGAGGAATGGTCTGGAGGACCCTTCCTGGGGACCACTGGGGGGAGCCATTAGAGCCATTAGACAGGAGATGAAGTCGAGGCCTGCGGGAGGAAGACCTGAAGGTCAGAAGTGAGTGCGAGGTGGGAGCTGCTGTGCCAGTGCCTGTTGGAATTCAGCCCAGACGTCCCCACAGGTAGGATCCAGGATAGGAGCTGGTCTGGGTTCCCCCACAGCAACTGCTTACAACCCTTCAGGTTCCTGATGGAGACCTCTTCAGAAATCCAGAGCCCTTCAGAGTCTGTCCCCACTGGGACAGGGGCTGTGGAATGGTCACCCTGAGTGCGCAGATGGCCAGCATCCAGCACACAGGTCAGTTGGCTGACTGATCAGGCATTTGTACCAGAATACTGTGAAATCCCTAACAGTGGCTACTGGAGAATGGGCCTGGGAGGTTGGAAGGGGTTAAAGAGAACTCTTATTTGTATTTTACATCCTTCCACTATTGGAATTTTTTTTAACTGCATGAGTTTGGCTTTACAGATAAAAGGAGAAAAATATTATGCCATCTATTCATTCCTTTCTTTTGTCTATTTCAGCATTAGCACAAGACACTGAGATCTGGTTCCTGGACAGAGCATTATACTGGCATTTTCTCACAGATACATTTACCGCTTACTATCGCCTGCTCATCACGCACCTGGGCCTGCCACAGTGGCAGTATGCCTTCACCAGCTATGGCATTAGCCCCCAAGCCAAGGTGAGAGAGAAACAGGTAGCATCTCAAACTGTGGACTGTATCAGAATCTCTGAGGAAGCATTCAGATTGCAGCTTTGAGATTCCCCATATGATTCAGATGACCTGGGATGGGGCCCAGGAACCTGCATTTTCATTAAGCCAGGAGGATGATAATATGCATGTTAAGTGGATAGCCTCACCTTATACTGAACTAAATGGTTCCCCAACATGGCTGATACTCAAAATCACCTGGGAGTTTTCTTCCTAATTAAATTTTATTGGGGGCTGAGGTCTGATTGCTGGTTTTAGATAGGCAGTACATGCACACAGGAAGAGTGGAAAGTTAATCTGATTCCCAGGTTCTCCAGCCTCTCCCTGAGGCAGCCATTGTTTCTGTTTTTCTCATGTTTTTCACAGGGTACTTGACTGCATGGAAAGCATGTGTGCGTATGTTTTTTGGTTCCTTTTTTTCTAAATCACAGGTGCACTATACTTCTCACATCATTGGGCACCTTCTTTTCACTTAACACTCCATCTTGGGGTTCATTCCCTATCAGTGCATACAGAACTGTCCTTTTTAGTGATACAGAATATTCCATTGTATGAATGTGCCCTATTTATACTACAAATCTGGGCACACATACGGTTTCCTGATAATGCTCATATGCTGTGTGGTTTGAGACCAGGTGTGCCTGGAAGAATTCTGACTGAGTGGCAGTGAGTTAGGGACTCAGCTCCATCCAGTCACATCGTGAAGTCAATAAATGTGATGCTCTCTGCCTGGAAGGGGAAGAGAGCACCAGCATAGGCAGCTTCCCTCAGCCAGGGCCTGCCACTGGCCCCTGTCCTGTACCTTCCCTGTGGCTGGTGTGCGGACAGAACAATTAGAAGGATACTGATGCTCTGAGACCTAACATCCCACACAGGGCTCACTAGATCAGAAGGAAGGAAGTAAAGAATATGAGACCTAATAAAGCAATGTGTGTGCCATCACTTTCATCTAAATGAAGTGCTAAGAGATTTTTGAGGCAGTTTTTCATAAAAAACTTTCATTCTCTTTGCCTCATCTGCCCACCTCTCTACCGCTGGGTCCCCACTAAAGAGCATAAACAATCACACTTCTCCTTTGAATTGTGACTCTCCCAATCCTCCCTTACAGCAATGGTTCAACATGTATAAACCCATCACCTACAACACAAACCTGCTTGCAGAAGAGACCAACTCCTTCGTGAACAAGCTGGATCCCAGCAGAGTATTCAAGAGCAAGAATAAGACATTAATCCCCAAAAAGAAAGGGCCTGTCCAGCCTCCAGGTGGCCAGAAAGGGCCCTCAGGTCCTCCCTCCACTTCTAAATCCTCTTCTAGCCCTGGCAACCCTGTCCGGAAATGAGCACTTCACCTCCCCGCCAGCCTCACAGCCAAGATTTCCACACACAGGTGGCCCAAGCCTCAGATTCTGTGAGTGGCACCATAGACCTCTTTCCGTCTGAGCGAGCCAAATCCTAGGCCTTTTACTCCCATTGGCATTGGCCAGGAGTTCAAGGGCATACTCAGGTCTTCCGGAGTCCTTTCCTCATCCCCTGCCTCTGAAAGCTGTAGAGAGTTTCAGAACTTGTTTAAGCAGTTAAATAGAGCTGTTAAGAGCTTTCCTCTCTTTCCACCCCAACCCTCTACACCCCTTAGCAGTCATTAGAGAAATCCCTCGAAGAAACCACTGATTTTGACCAATGAGGCATTAGAACTGTGCTGTTCAATTGGTAATCACTAGCCACATGTGGCTATTTAAACTATATTAAAAATTCAGTTCCTCAGTGCATTAGCCCTATTGTGAGTATTCATGGGGCTAGTAAATTCTGTATTTGACAGCACAGAGATTATGGAACATTTCCATCATCACAGAAAGTTCTTTTGGGCAACACTGCATTAGAATATTTTCATGCTGCTTTTTCTCAGATCAGTTCATTTTTGTTAGAGAATGTAGATAATTTAATGCATCATAATGTTCCATGAAAATCCTTGAAGATACAATTGCATATGTTTATTTTTCTTAATTCTCAACTCTGGTCCTTTTTAAGTTTCCTATAAAGTTTGTTGTTTCCAGTTTTGTGGTGTGATGTTTATGCATTGCCAAAATTTGTTTTGTTTTCTAAAGAGGAGGTGATTCTGCTTCACTTGAACCATTTAAAAACAAAAAACAAACTCCCAAGCATTGTTTTACAGGATTCTTCCTAAAGAGTTTTTATGAAACCACTGTTAACGAGAGCTTTCCACCTGCTCGGCCTATTCACAGC